GCACCGCCCCCGGGCGCTGTGGGGGAATTTGGGTCGGGGCTGTAGCGGCGCCGCTGGCGTGAAGCGTTTGAGGCTGTGTTAGAGCCGCCAGTGTGGTTTGGCCCCGGGTGGTAAATGCTCGTGGTCGAAAGAAGCCTGGAAGTCGGAGGGTCTGCAAGCAATCAGAAAGTTACATGAATATATTGCGCGCTTGGCGTGGGATTTGGTTTGTTAGCCCCTGACTTACTGTGTAAGCACACGGCAGTGGGTCTGGATACAGGGGCAGGGTGAAAGGGAAGAGCGAAACATTGTGAAAAATGCGTACTTTATGATTGGCTTTTCGCAAATATTGAAATTAATATGTGTTGTGTCAGAAATTAATGCTGTGTTAATTCTCTTAAGTAGTGTGTTAAATATAGTTTTAGGTCATAACAAAATGTTAAAATAGAAACTATACAATATAGGATACTTTTTCTCTAAAGAATGGACTCGCACCAAGATAGCAGCCACAGGACACCCAAGTCTTTCAGAGAAAGAGAATTTATTGCCCTTTAATCAGGAGAAACGAACTTCTTCCCATCTCGCTCAGGCAGGATGGTGCCACTAGGATTATGAGGAAGAAGCTGACACTGGCCAGACAGAATCATTTGAATGGAATTTATGTATCATGTATGAGGTGTATGAATATGCAACAGGCTATTGCTTTGGAGGGTTAATCCTCTGTTAACGGGTGTCCTTATTCGGGCTTGTGCTGCCCGGAAAAAGGTACCCGGACATCCGTAACTCTGTTTCTCTTGTCTCATATTGTCCTAATTCAAGTTGTCCAAATTATAATTTCTCTATGTGTATTACTATTTTTATAATAATTTTGTTAAACAGCTATTAAACTATTAAATTTTTAAAAAATTTAATTAAAAATTAAATTTAAAGTGATTGGCGTTTTTCACAAGATGAATTAGAGGGGGTGAGGGGTCAGAGAGAGGAAAAGAAAATTAAGAAATGAGAGAAAAGAGAAAAATGGGGTGCTACCCAGGTTTGGAGGGGTACCTTTTCATGGGCAGGTTTCTCGCTTTCTGTGCAAGTTAATTATCATGCACAGTCTGCTCTTTCAGATCTTTTGGGATATAGCTCAGAGAGCTTTGTGAAAAACGCCAACCACTTGTTTTTAAAATGTTAAAAGTTTAATAGTAATAAAATGGTTATAAAAATAGCTATATAATTAAAATAATAATAATTTGGACAATTTGGAATAGGACAATATGAGATAAGAAAAACAAAGAGTTACAGACAGTCCAGGTACCTCTTTCTGGGCAGCACAAGCCTGAAAAAGGACACCTGTTAACAGAGGATTAACCCTCAAAAGCAATAGCCCGTTGCATGTTCGTACACCTCATACATGATGCCAAAATTCCATTCAAACACAGGATTCTGTTTGGTCAATGTAAACTTCTTCCTCTGGATCCTAACGGCGTCTTCAGGGCCGAGCGAGGCGGGAAGAACTTGATAAGAGACCGATAAATTATTTTTCTCTGAAAGATTTAGGTGTCCTGTGGATGCTATTTCGGTGTGAGTCCTTTCTTTTAAAAAGGTATTTAGATAGCATAGTTTCTGTTTTAACATTATCTTAACATTATGTTTTAACCTAAAACTATATTTAACACACTGCTTAAGAAAATTAATACAGCGTAACTTTCTAACATAACACATATAATATTCATTTTAATATTTGTGAAAAGCCAATCATAAAATATGCATTTTTCAAGGAACTTTGATGGTCTTGATCTCCTTCCACAGCCTGTGCCCACACCTTGCCTTCATTCCCATGCTTGTGTGATGCTATGTTGGGCTCATCTCCAGGAACTACAACAAGGCTGTTAGTCCAGGAAGAGTGCTGCCCTCCCTCCGCATGGCCCCCGTCTCCAGCCACATTTTCTCCTTTCTCACAGAGCATTGACACCAGCAATCCTCATCTGTTAGTGCAAACAATCCTTGGTTGGCTCCGTTGCTATCCAGCTATCGTTTCTGAGACATACACATTATCCCATCATCTTCTGGGATTCTGTGCCCTGTCAGCCTGCTCAGCCTCCTGCCCTGCTGGGGTCATGTGATGGCTGTCCAGATCCAAGCTTTCCTGCTGCTGAGCTTTGCAAGTGCTGTCTCTAGGCTGTACTTGTGTCCTTGCTCTTCATCCACCGTCACTTGAGAGTGCAGATACAGGGATGCAGTTTGGCTTCTCCCACTTAGCCTTTTTGTTGCCTCTAGTGACAGCTTGTGTTGCTCTCAGCATGCTGCTCCTCGCCCTTTCTTCCTTTGGATATCAGTTCTCTCCTTGGGTTACTTCTGCATGGCTGCAGAGAAGTCCCACTGACTTCCATCTGCTTGATCACGTGCTGTTTGCCCCTCTTTATTTGTCTTAGCTCCTTACTTTCCGTGGGTTCTTGCCTTTCTCACTGCACACAGCAGTTCATCCCATATTAAGGAACGCTGCTGACTCCGTTTATTTCCTGGCAATTGCCGTAGCTCCCTTTTCCTGTCAATAAGACAAATGATTATGCTGTTCGTAGTTGTAGCCATTCTGTTTCACCCTCAATCTTGTCATAATGCATTTCTTTCTCATTTGTCAAAATAGTTAATGATGGTATAGTCCCAGAAAAATTGCAGTGAATTGAGTAACTCTGTCCTCATTGCCTTTGACCAAGCAGTCATGGGTGAGGTGATCTCCAGCTCCAGGGTTTAAACAGGAATTACAGACTGTTTTTGTCAGTTAAGGCTTACTCTCCCCACATCTGCTTCAGTGTTTTTCATCTCTGTTACAGCCATGCTAGGACAACTTGAACAAACCTTTCTTTAGGATTCAGCCTTGATCTGTGTCAGTAGTGAAAAATACAAAAATTACACATTATCGCTGTCATATTTTCTGGAAAAATCCCCTCAACAGGATTTTTTCTCCTGGGAAACTGAGAAGCCTCAGAGAAAAAGGAAAACTATATTATCTCATTTGTTTCTCCTGTGTTTTGCTGCTTTGAAATGTGGTTGGAGATTGTTTATTCAACATGTGAATTGTTTTGACTTAATGACCAATCATAGTCAGGCTGTGGTGGACCCTGGAAGGGAGAGTCACAGGTTTTTCAGTAGTATCTTGTTAAGTCTTCTGTCTGTATCCTTTCTCTATAGTATAGCATTCTTTAATATAATATAAAATAACATAAAATAATAAATTAGCCTTTTAAGAACATGGGGTCAGATTCATCAATTCCTCCTCCATCTGGGGAGCTCAGAAAATACCACATGCATAGCTTTGTTTTCGTCCCGCTTCTTAACTATTTTGATGTCATGACAAAATGTTTGGGGTTTTTTTCACATTATAGGCCCATTCAAATAATTTTTTGTTTATTTCTTTTGCTTTGAATGCATCTTGAAAGAATGTCTTCCTAAAATTCTAAGTTCTGCCAACATTAATTAAAATAAAAATCCAAAGTAATAGTGAATCAAAATAAATCACATTTTTCACAGAATCACAGAATCACAGAAATTCTAGGTTGGAAGAGACCTTTAAGATCATTGAGTCCAACCCATGTTCTAACACCTCAACTAGATCATGGCACCAAGTACCACATCCAGTCTTTTTTTAAACACATCGAGGAATGGTGACTCCATCACCTCCCTGGGCAGATGATTCCAGTATTTGACCATTCTTTCTGTGAAAAACTTCCTCCTTAATTCTAGCCTGTATCTCCCTTGGCGCAGCTTGAGACTGTGTCATCTTGTTCTGTCTGTTGTTGCCCAGAGAAAGAGACCGACCCCCAGCTCACCACAAGCACCCTTCAGGAAGTTGAAGAGAGTAACAAGGTCACCTCTGAGTGTCCTTTTCTTCAGGCTGAACAACCCCAGCTCTCTCAGTCGTTCCTCATATGGCTTGTGTTCCAAGGCCCTCACCAGCCTTGTTGCTCTCCTTTGGACATGCTCAAGCATCTCAACATCCCTCCTAAACTGAGGGGCCCAGAAATGGACGCAATACTCAAGGTGTGGCCTCACCAGTGCCGAGTACAGGGGAAGAAGGACCTCCCTGCTCCTGCTGGCCACACCGTTCCTGATACTGGCCAGGATGCCATTGGCCTTCTTGGCCACCTGGGCACGCTGCTGGCTCATGTTCAGCCAAATGTCAACCAGCACCCCCAGGTCCCTTTCC